CAATCTGCAAACTCCTTCCGTTCTAATTTAATAAAGTTCACCCTATTAATAGTATGATGAAAAGGGTAGTTATTTTGTTCATCTCATTAAAATAAAGAAATTCGCTACACAGCCACAGCATTACATTCCCATCCATCTAGGAACATTCTATTAGGGCTGCATTAATTCATCATTACCGAAATTTATTTTCCATTTAGTCTTGCTAGAGCCAAGCTCTCTCAAAAAAGGTACTACCTGAATAAAGGTGACATCAGAAGGTCAGCCTCTATCACTTCCTTTTTGGGAGAAGGTTCTTGGGAAGGGAAGAAAGAAAGTGAAAATGAAAACGTGTCCTAGAAGACTCCATAGAGTTAATTGCTCCATTCTGTCATTTCCCTGCAGCTGACAAATCTCTTTTTGCATTTTTCTCTACTCCCCTACTTTTCTAGGAGAGATATCCCTGAAGTTAAACTCCAGACCAAGTTTTTGGGAAATATCTGGATTCTGCAGATATTCAAACGCAAACACAGTTGATCTCAGCTTCTGTAGTTCAGGCAAAGCAGAACCCTAGCACTGGACAATCAGCCACGCATTCAGCACACACTCAGATTGGGCTCTGCTTCTCTGGCAGAGCATTGATTTCCTTCCTCCTTCCCTCCCGTAACAGAGAAAGTGCAATTGGATGTGTGGTCTCACAGGAAAATAATTGTTAAGTGACATTTCTGCTTGGCCTCCCATACCCAAAGAAAGAGATACTACCTCTGCTAAAAGGAACTACACTAATCAGATGGAGGCAATGTCTATGCTAGCAAGTAGTGGGATCCACTAGAAATGGATCTGTTGAATTAAACAGTTGGTGCTGGGGACTTGACACCCACACAAGGAATGACTGAGGGAGGGTTACCACAGACAAGGACTACTCAGGTGCCATTACAGACTGACTGCAGCTGGGGACCATTAGAGAGACTCCTGGAACACATTTCCTCTTCACTTCCATCTGAAAGAGATCCAGTTAATGCATCCCAAGACTACTCTGTGATGTGAATCGAAGCGTGGTTAGCAGGGACAGTCCCACTGGCCTCAGAAGCACACTCCTGATCTGAGCTAAAACGCTAATCCAGACACAGTGGAAGTACCTCAGTGCGAGGCGCTCATGGCAGAACGTACAGAGAAACAGAATATACTCTGCATGATGCCCAGAGACACATCTCAAAGTGGAATAAAGATGTATCTTCCCAAGTGAGGTGAAGCTATGTGAAAGACAAACAGATAGACACGCAATTTTTCAAAGTAGAGATACTGCAATGAGACAATTTAAACTAATTTTACTCCCTCTAAGAGGGAATTTGCTTTTATATTTTAATTCAACAAAAACAGCTATTCAGCATGAAGGCACAAAGCTGGGCACTAAAAGGTGAGCTGGCCTACATATGCTGCTCTTTAGTAAATCAGCACTCCCTTTCTACTCTACCATCTCGGCTCTTTCTCCAGTGACATTCAGCACATGAAAATAAGGATAGGATTTTTTATGGCTCAAGACATTTAACATGCTTGCTTGTCGGTACCTAGGTTTTGTCACCAAAAAAAATACCTGAATGAATTTTGATACGCCTAGCTAGAAATACAATTCTTGTTTTACTGAGACAGAAATGAAAGATAGTTACAAAACTTCAAAGTACATTCTTTACAGCACTCTTTAGAAGAGGCTAGAAAACATTAAGTACTGTATTTATTTGTATGAAAATGTTTACAGCACACTTAAAAAGCAGACAGCTAATTTAGCCCAGAATCCTAATGCTGAAAATCAAAATCAAATTCAGAGAGGAAAGCCAGTGTTTCAGACAAAAGTTTGGCAGTCCTTCCTCTAATAAAATGACACATAGGAAATGATATTTTAACGTTGGATCACCTTCATATAATACAAAATTGAAAAACATATTACCAAATATAAAGTATAAGTTGATTTCAAGAATACTAACGGGAGAGATGATCTGGCACCAAATGAAGCACAATTCTCACCAGTTGAAGCAGATCAATTCTTAATTATCATGGACGAAATTTTCAAAGTCTGTACTTGAAGTCAGCCTGTGAATCTGCATATCTACATCCTCATAAAAATCCCCAATTTTAACAAAGTATCTAGAGCTCCTCACTGAATTAGGTGTCATTTTATGAGAACATTTTTTTATGGAAAGTTGAGGCCTTACATACTTTGCTGATGCCTTTCATAGCTGACCAGTTGGACAAGAAATAATGAAGCATAAATACAGCAGCTTCTCTGAGTTGCTCACATGCCAACCCACCAGGCTACTCCTCCATTCTGGTTAAAGCGAGCAACAGTAAAAAGGATGATCTATTAACAGAGGGATGGTCTTTTGTTTTAAAGCTGTTTTGGTTTAAGATTCAATAGCAGCAAGACTCAAAAGAAAGTCAGGAAGGTGTATCATCACATCTATAATACCATATAGCCGTTCTGGGAACAAAATTCTCTCTTCAGACAAACTAAGGAATAGCATTAGGAGGATTTCAAGCTACCAGCACTACCTTATAATGACAAAAGTCTCAATGCAAAGTCGTCAATGTGGTTTGTGGTCTTAATGTACAGCTATGAATATTTTCTGCATGTCTGCCCAAAATGAAAGCTGTGGAGTGCAAACAGCATGTTCGTGGTTTTTGCATCACACAGACCCAGGAAACGTTTCCATGAATAAATAAGAAAATGTTCATGATATAAGGCAAGGGAGGTTTTCCTGCCATTCACAGTCTGTCAGGTGCTTCTCTGTTTTCTCCAGTCTTTTCTGCATCTTTGTGTATATTCGTTACATTCCTATATGCTTTTGACAGTAACCTTTTTTTTTTCTGTGCACCAAAATCAGCTTTCTGATGACCTTTGGCTTTACTGTGCTTCTTACAGATTGCTGCTACTCTGTCCATACAGAGCTGCCCTGGAAATCTTGCGACAGCAATCTGGCCAGGACAGAGTTGAGGGCATTTTGCTGTGCCTTCTACATGCTTCTACTTTATGTTGCAATAGGCCTCCAGTTTCCAAGATTCCAGATATGAGTACTTCCAGCATAGGCACAATCAGAGGTGCATGCATTCAGAAGAGATCCAAACTAAGATCCAAATACTGCTGTCAATTACTGCACATATACGTTAGTAAAACATCAACTTTATTAAGGGATTCGTCTGCCCCAGTTTGACCGAAGCATTCACAATGGACCAGAAATAAACCTTTGTTGGTAATGCTTTAATATGCCACAAAGTCTATACTAAACATATTACAGGGGTGGATATAAAATCATGTTATTATAATCTCATAATTACACTTCTGACTCCCTTTGAAAAGGCTGACAAGCTACAGCAAAATATAATCCAGTATGTATGTTTTCATAGATAATCAAAAGGATATAAAAGAGAAATATTCAAAAATAAGCTATATTGCTTCTACTGAAGTAATACGCATGCACTTTTAAAATGAATTATGACTCTTAAGTTGCTCTAAAAATAATTGTCTTGAAGCATTAAGTACTTAATAATTAAGCTTGAGCTTCACTGTTCCTTTCCTTCTGGTAGTTGCCGCTTTGAGATGTCAAGAAAATTAGCATTTGGGATAGCCTCTATTTCTGCTTCTTATCTGATAGTGAAACACCTCACTAACCGTTTTTACTTGCTCATTTCCCACAAGTCATTCAGCAGTTATCCAACAACAGCACTTGTCACAGACACACGGCTTCAACAGCTCTGCTGCAGACCAGCACAGCGCTCAGGGACACTCGGAGGATGTCGTGGCAAAGCCCTACAGCCAACCGCTCCTCTGCGCCTCCAGCGCGCCCCTTCCCATGTGCCTTGCTTGCATACTGTGGGGAATCCGTGCAAGTCACTGTAATACCAGAGAGCTCCCATAAGAGGGAGACTTTATCGCACAAGACCTTGTGAGTGAGATCCTTAAACCCAACCCTTAGAAATTATTTTGTCAGGATGCAGTTTACCCTATAGCCAGATACACTACAGATACTCTGACAAGATTTAAATGTAATGTATCCTTTCTTAAAGGAAACATTCTGAAAATAACAACATTTGGGCACGGGTGAAATCTAAAGATGCAAATCTTGCATAAAGCAGTTGACATCCCACTCACTGCAGCAGAAGATATTTTTTAAAAAATCCTTTAAAATTATTTCCATGTCATTATTTAACACATTTTTCCTATCCTTTTCCTGAAGACAAATAGCTGTCCTTATATATACACGACAGGCATGGGATTTTAGGAGTTTCACCTCCACAAGCTGTAGAAAGGACACCTATGAAGTTATGTTTTCCAGTTCATTTAAGTTTACCTACCTCAAATATTGGAGCATAAATTAAGAAGGAAGGCTAGTAGGTGGTGCTACCACACAGTTCACCAGCCTTCAGCTGTGCTGGTAGGAGGCCAAACCCCTGGCACTAGGGAGTCTCGTACATCAGCAGATCTCCCCATCGGCCAGGAGCAGACTGTGGCAGCCTTATTTGCAGCTGGCAATCCTGTGCTGTGCCCCGGAAAAATGGAACAGTTGCCATGAAATCATTGCTCACAAAGCATTTTTTCATGAACCAAAACATACATTGTTTCCATATCCTATAAAGCCCTCTCATCATATCCGTAAGAAAACTGAGATGATGCTGTTTAGAGCATTCTTGGTCACAAAAGTTCAATTTTAAAATACATTTGCTGTAATTTTTCCTGAAGACCATTGACGTATTTACTTAATTTATAATAGTTCATGACATGGGAAAGTTTTTCATTTTTATTCATAACGACCTTTACAACCTGCCTAGCATTTTTATCAGCCCAGAAATTACAGTACATCATCATGATCTTTACCTCAACTGCTAATTTAGTTAGGCTTTATCCAGAACCAAAGGCCACAATAAATGCCAAAGTAAGGACTACACCCACTTACAAACCATGCAGCCCCTGGTGTCATATTTAGTAAGTTAAAGATTTACTAGACTATAACTGGCAAGCCATACAAGTAGATCCTTAGATGATAACTGATATATTAGAGGAAACATCTTTAGCAAGTTTTTCTCAGCCCTGCCATGGGTATTTCTAAAATACCTTTCTCCATCTACTTTTCTTAACCTCATGAACCCCCCCTTGAAACTTCACAAGGATGTGTTCATGAATAAAGAAGAATGCTACAGTATCAGAGGGATTTATCACCTCCAGCTGCACTTCTTTCAAGCTCTACTCTGTTGTCATTTGCAACGTGGTAGTATAAGCCTGACACCAAATGCAGTCCAATGCTTTTGTTTCTACACATCAAAGACAAAAAAGGTAAGATTCCAGCTTCTTAAAGTCTATTTTGGCTGCATACTACTCTTAAGAAATGTGGCTATCAAAATTTGCGTCTTTCCATAGTATTTTGATTCCGCACTTCATTCTGCTTTTTTATTACTTAAGAAATTTTTTCCTAGTTTATATATCACCAGTTATGTTGTGAATTTGGATTAAGAGTTCTTGCACTTTCAGATATGGAAGAAAAGGATAGAGAGCGCTGTTTGGATTAATCCAGCCCACCTTCAACGCAATCGTGCCAGTTCACAATAGAAGAGTATCAGTTTCAAAGTCAGAACTACACAAATTCTAAAATACCTATGTGACTGTAACTGTTCTTGGGAGACAAGAGGAAAGCAGGGAGAGAAGATGGAAAGAGAGGTGAAGAGAGCATAAAGGGGCATTGAAATGTAGTTAAATTCAATCCAACTGTTCTAAACTTGCTTCTGTCTGACATTTTTGAAAATCAGTTTCTAGTACTGTTTAAAGAAAAATCATTGTGGTCACTGGAAGGATTTGACCATCAGTAAAGCAGCGTCCACATCTTACAGAGAAACACAGCTTGCGTGCTTTGGCTTTCATTTGAATGACAACTTATCACTCTCAGACCTAGAACTATTTATTTCAACATGGCAGTCTAATCAGCCAGTTCTAGTTTAAACAGTCTGTATATTTAGGAAAGGCAGCAAAAAAGACGGTGAGGAGGGCCATCACTGAGAAAGTAAAAAATTAAAAACAAAGTAGACTTTTGCCTTTCTTTGGGTACCTACTCAGGGCATCAGAGCTATACCCAGCAATGGGTTCCCTTGAATGTCCCACATGCTGGGTTTTCTGTTGCATGTTTTATGTGTCATTTCTGTTATCAGAAGTTGCATTCTCACAAAGTTTTTGTTTGACCAAACTTCTCAGTCCCTAGCCTTTATAACTTCTGCCCAGGCTTGCTCTGTTAACATCAGTCATTTTACCTCTCAGACGCTCTGGCACCTCAGTCTTCTCTAAGTTGCTGAGCACGGATAATTTCACTCTTTCAATCGTCTCTCTCTGATCTCTCTAAATTAAACCCTCAAACTGCCCTTTTATTTCCATTCCTCTTCAAATTTTCTCTATTGTGTTTTTAGCCCCCTTGCACCCCCCACTTTGTCTATCAAATTTTCTTGTACATACAGGGCTGCTTTTAAACGCTTGGAGGGGTTCCTTTAGCAAGAAGGTGAGTCTCCATTAGCTGTTTTCCTTTTGCTCATATCCTGCTTTAACACTGATGCTCTGGATTTTCCTTTCAAAACATACTCTCAGAGAAGTAAATTAACCATAGCCGTTTGTGCCTATGTTGTGGTAAATTATAATCCTGAACATCTCTATTTTTGGATTTGTTTTGGTACAGACATTTGCCAGCTTTAAGCAAATAAACAAATGAAACGGATCTAAAAATTACCCAGTTCCTCCCATGCTTTTCTCTTTCTCAATCATTTAACTATGGCGTAATATATTGCGTTTTCCCCTGACATGCTTATTTATAAATTTATTTAAAAGTGTTCCTACACAGATTACAATTGATTATTATATCTACCTAGGAATATAGCATCTCTGTTCAGTTATCAAGAAACATGCACTATGCACAGCAGAAGAAAAAATGAAATTATTACACAAAGGGATCCAATCACACTAGGTAAATAGATACAATAATAAAAAAGGAAAATCAAAGTTGATAAATGTGAAGTTCATTGGAGGGAAAAGTATGAATTACTAGTACACTCTGCTGAACTTCAAATTAGCTGAATTAGTAAGTATGTTACACGGCAGTATTTACTCAGGAAAAGGACATCAGCTTTATTTTAGACAGGTCAGTGACAAAGTATTTCTGTGCATAACTGCAGTCAAAAATGCAAAGATGATGTTAGAATGAGAAATCATTGGCACAAATTTGTCTAGAATATTATATGCACTCTGATCGCTCCATCTATGGCAAGGATTTTGGAGAACCAGAACAGACTTAGGGAAGGGTGGAAAAGACATTCCTCTCTGAAAAACAGAGAATATAAGAATTACTCTGTCTTAGAAGTGATGCAGAAAAGAGCAGACAGAAAAAAAGGAACATGAGAAACTCCTAATCTGTATGCGTCTCTGTTCAAAAGCAAGGAGGCATTCCATAATAGTAAGAGGTGGAAAATCAAACATACACAATGCAATACTTTTAGGCTCACTGTGTAATTAAACTGTGGAACTTGCTGTCACATGAGACCGTTGAAGTCTAGGATTCCATATTAAAAAAGGGATTAAGTAGTTATTTCCAGAATTTTCAAGTATAATTCAGGTATCAGCTTTGTAGAAAAAATATTTAATGCTTCAGAGTTCAAGTCAATCATTAATTGATACAGAGCAGGGTATCCTGCACCACCAGGGAAGGGGGAAGGGTGGATTATTCCCTATCTGCCTGCTATGGGGTTGATAGGCTGTTGTCAGCAGTATCCGTGCTGGACTGTGCAGTGTTTGCAATGGGATAACAGAGAGAGCTAAGCAGTGGTTCTGTTCCAAGATGGCACTTCTAATTCCTAAATTTGACAGCAGTCAACAGTCCAATGGAGTGGAGACAACTGAATGCTCACTTTAGGGGAGTAAAGAACGTACATTAATGTGAAAACGTAGAATACATGCCTCTGCTCATGTTAAAATGTGGATTTAATACATTTGCAAAGTCTGTGGACTTTCATTTCCCATGCATTAGAAATATCCTAAAGTGAAATTTTTACAAGGAATCAAGAACATTGTTTTGTCAAGAGGAAAATAAGCACAGCAGAAAGAGGCTCTGTAGTCAGCAGAGGGAGACACACACTTTCAGAGAGCGGCTCATCTACTTTATGAACGGCAGAAGCACCCTCTGGATTTGCCCAACTCCAATGACTCCAGAGGGAACCCAGCCTCTATCTTAAATTTGTAGCAGAATTTGTCCATGCAATTGGTGGAATGACACTCTCCCACAACCTCCTAATCAGTATCGGGACTGAAATAGTTTATTCTCAAGATGCCTATCTCAAAGGCATCTCTTTGCTAACTTCCTGTGAGAGAAATTAAGCAGATGGCCAGTTGAGACACAGAGAAGATTTTCACTGACTACGGTTTTAGAAATATCACTCTCTTAAAAAATGAAAAAAATCTAGCAGCTTTAGTCCAACAAATTACCACTGATTTCAGTAGTCTTTTTCCTCAAGAAAGGACTCCTGAAGTTGTCCAAGTGTCTCCATGCTCCTGTTGGCTGCAGTGGCAACATAAACTCCTTTCAGAAATCTAGGATCGAGAACATAAGGCTTTCCAGCTTTTCAGCTGTGCCACAGTGCTATTTCTCTGCTATTTTGCAACAGAAAAATATATTTTAAAGATCACCTGCCATTATTTCCCCTGGGTAGCAAAAGTCACTGGCAAGCTGTGACCTCCATGAAGACATGTCTCAGACTGGCCCCTTGCAGTGAACAGATCCTCAAATAAACCCCAGCACTAATTATGACATAGCAAATCAAGTCATAGTAGGTTCAGATCACAGAGGGAAGACATGCCACAACCCAGCCTCCAGCAGAGCATTAGAAATGTCCATAGTCATGAAAAGACTTCAGTGAAACACTTCTGGAGGATGCGATTTCATTTTGGAGCTCCCAAAGGGTTCATCTGCTGCTGTCACACCCAAACAGACAAACATTTACAGCATTAGGATTCCTGGTGGGGCCGTGTCAGAAGTGCATACAACGTAGCTATATAGAGCAAAAGTCAGATAGCAAATAGCAGAGCTGTGATTGCCTGGCACTGTATCACCTTCAGGGTTCAGGCTGGGACTTGTATAAAACAGTCACAACCAGCTACATAACTGATAGCAAAGTCTATCTGCACACAGAGCAGCAGGAACCTGTATGATTTCACTAATATAAGTATTTGCAAGCAGCAAAAAAAAAGGCATAATAGGTCACATCATAGAAGTCTGTGAAGGTAGAAGGATTCAGAAGAGGGTAGGAAGGCTGGGGTGTTGCAGGGAAGTCTGGACTGACACAGAGTGACAGTAATAACAGCCTGTTTGACTACGGGATATCAGCATGCACAATTTGCAGCAGTACTACATAGCAGGACTCAGTAGTAGTAGTAATCACAGCTCAGCACCTGCCCAGCTGTTTCCACATGTATTTTCTGTAACAAAACAAATCAACTTTACATTTCAGTCAAAGCTGGTACTTACAGAACATGCTCATGACTTAAGACTCACGAGAGCTTCTTGTACTTGTTTAAAGAAACCTCAAGTTTTGGAATTCCAGTAGGATTGTTCAGAAAGACACAGTTCACAACCCATTATGTAAATACAGAGTCAGATTTTTCTCCACCGTACATTTCCATACAGGGCTGTGGACAGTGTGATTCCTAGCAAACACTATTAAGATGTAGCTACAGATGTTTGTATCTATAGCTTTTCACATCGATGCTTCGCTTACCCTTTTGGAAAAGTTTCCTTTGCTGTCCTAGAAACCACATATTTCTCCTATTCTATTTAATCCCTGTTTCTGCACACCTTAAAATATATTTGGTCATATGGATTACTAAATAGATTACAAGAAACAAGTTTCCCAAATGCTAGGTAGCAAGCAGTGAGTGTGAAAGGAAAAGCTGTAATGAGCAGCACTTATCTATTAGCCACTAGCTAGGAAGATTCAATAATCATGCCACTTCATCTGTTTACTGAGAGATATTTCAACAGGAAGATTACCCAGATCTGATAAGCAATGTTCCCAGCAAAGAGAGGCCTCATGCTTAACTGATGGTAATAACATTAGTCCAAAATTGAAAGAGCATGGAGCAGTGCAAACAGGATCAAAAATATTTGATTATAGATTTACTGTGGCATAAATGACCTAAAATTTAGTTGTGCTGTTTTAACAGTCTAATTCTTAAATTCATATGCCATTTCCCACTTTGGACAAGTCAAGCATTGAATAAAGAAGTCAGTGTAGACCTCTGGACAAATTAAA